CTCTCTCTCTCTCTCTCTCTCTCTCTCTCTCTATCTCTTTCTTTCTCTCTTCGTCTCTATCTGCATACGATACCACGTACGTATTACGTGGCTCGGTGTGTTACTACGCGAACGCGCAAGTCTCCAGATACTTTTCCCTCTCCGCGAGGCCGCGAGTTATACGTGGAAGCGCGTTTTGCGCCAGACGGAAATAATTACCGCGCAGGTTCGCACGGCAATAACAATTAAGCGCAGACCCACGCATTTGACGCCATCCACCCTGGGAACGTAAACCAAACGGGAGTCGACTGTCCTCGCGTAGGCGTATTGTTTGTACGAAGATTCGATTAAATTTCCACAGACCGGTCTGGTTTAAATATTGTTTTTGTTTCTTCGATATCTTACGCTATTCTTTTGCTTTTCATCAAAAGCAGGAAACTAGAGCATGCTAATTGATCTTTGCGTGGAGACGAATTTTATATTAAAATGGAAACTTTTAAGTAAAATCAATTTCATAGGTACAGAACACTTTTTTCAATTCTTATCAGTGACCCCAGCGTATTAGGTTACTTGGCCTCTGACTTATGGCTCTTATAGCTGTAGCTGTGTGCTTTGGCTACGTACTTCCGCCACCTACTAGAAATGGTCCTAGGTAGCCGAGGTAAACTTAATCCCACACAGTTTGACTTTAACCCCTTCAGAGTTGAGCTTGCCGAGTAGATTCTACCCTCTCCCTCTTTTACCCTCCCCCTCCCTCCCCCCCTCCTAGTACTGAACTGTCATAGTATCATTCCCCTCCGCGAGACTTACCCAATCGTAACTGGTTTAACTTAATTTATCCTGACCTATATATATGTATATATACTGCATGAGTTTGCTACTGAAACTTACCGGAAAATGATTCCAAAGTTTTGCTAATTAATAGTAGTCACGTCGAATATTGAAAGGAAACTGTATCCATCGAAACCGCCATTAGACAATTTCGGAAACCCCATTTCTTTTCTTACGCGAAAGAGGATCGTAGGGTAAGGCAGACGTTTAAGAAAACAGGAAGCCAGCTAATTACACGAAATTAAGCAGGAGGAGACACCTAAACAGATGTGCGAGTGAGAAGGGTGAGAATTGGGATGAACTACCTCTATGCGTATTATATATGTATATATGTATATATATATATGTACAGTACAAAGATCCTTAATGTAATTCCCTAATGGAGATAAGGGTTCGATCGAAATACATTGAGAGGGTTGAATTTAGGCCTGAGAATAGAATCAACGAACTGCGCGGGGCGCGAGAATTTTTTTCTCGAAAATAACTAACCGGAAAGGGGG